TCTTGATATTCTGTTTTCCATTTCATTCATCCTATTGGTGATGCTTTCTCCCATTGTTTCTAATTGGCTTACTGAGTGTTTCACTTCCTTCATTTCAGCTTGAGCATTCTTCAATATTTCTAGCTCTTTTCTGAATTCATTCAGAAGTTTATCCCTATCTTCCTTCAGTTCTTTGATTTCTTTGTTTGTATGTTCTTTAAATTCACTGAATTCTTTTATCATGTTTATCATTGTTCTTTTGAGTTCCATGTCCTGCATTATCTCTAGTGGCTTCTTTATCGAGGACTACTGGTGGGGATATGTTATTTTGGTTTTTCAAGTTATTATTTTTTCTCCATGATTTTGACATGTGAATTTTCTTGTATTTTCTGATTCTCGTGTGAGACTCAAGCCTTCAAGTTTAGGTCTGCTTCTTTTTGTAAACTTTATGTGTCTTTGTGGTTTACTTTTTGGGCATGAAAAGCTGGTTCCTCTAAAGCTTCCGGTTCTCTCTTTTGATTTTATACTGGCATGGCCAGATTGCTTTTGTCTTCAGGAGTTCCCACAGAGACCCTAGTCAGATGAGGATCAGATGCTCTCATGCTAAGGTCTGGATCCCTCCAGGAAAGATTTTGGCCTCAGGAATTTGGGGGTTGGAATGGCCTGGGAGCAGGGCCCGGAGAAATGCTGGTCTTAGGCAGCTGGTGGCTGTGACACTCAGAGATGCAAAGGGAGATGGGGGTGGGAAAAGGCCCCAAGGGCTCCTGGGGACTGCACTGAGGAACTGGGTTGGTCTGGATGCAAAGGATCAGGAAGAGGAAAGGTCAGCCCCGGCATCCAGGAAAGACTAGTGAATTGGTGTAGCCCAGGGAAGCAGATGGAGGAAGTGAGGGTGGGGCCAGGCCAAGAGGGCTTCTGGGGACCCCAGAAGGAACTGGGTTGGTGTGGATGCAAAGGATCAGGAATTGGTGGTGGGATGCCAAGACAAGGAATCTACAGTAACTCTTATAAAAAGTAGGAAACTCTACATCAAGCACATCGTCAAGAAAGGAAAGGTAGTGGATAGTAAGAAGGGGTCCTTAGAAGCATATAAGAGTTAATCAGTAAGAAACCATTTCCTAAATAAATAATGCATAATAATTTCAGACACTATGTATTAGTATGTCAAAATAAAGTCATTATTTCTATTTTCTCATTTTAACAATTATTTATAGTGTACCTACTATCAACCAGTTATAGAAATGAAAAAGAAATTTGATAAAAATCCTAGCTGTTAGGGAGCTGAACACACTAGCATTAGGAAGACAAACTACAAACAAAACAAAAAAAAAAAAAAAGAAAAAAATAAAGAGGCCACACAGTAATACTGAAGCACAACAGGGTAAGCCAGGAACATGATGTTAGAGGATTCAGACAGGGTGATAGAAAAAATACAGACATTGCAGGAGGGGCTTGGGTTTGGCTGATTTCATGTGCAAAAAGAAGTCACTGTAGTCAAAAACGGTGAGTAAATGGTCTACTTATGCTACTTCTGGAATGGCATTTTTTTTTAAAATATTTTTTCTGTATCCAAAGGATCTGAAAAGGTTTTAACAGTAATATATTCATGAATACCAGTAGTGCCACAATTCTATGAAACAATATCCTTCACTTCCATCCAGCCATGTTTGGCCACATATAAAATGAGGTCAGGAAAACAAAACAAACACAATTTGGTAGCTCAACTTTTCAGACACAGAAAATCACAAGTACAGATAAAAATTTTACCAGATATGCCATGGCTTATCTTTGATGTTCTCTAAGCACAGTAACTGAGACACTTTCACAGACGTCACTGCATCTCTAAGATCCATTTTGTTTGCAAAAAATAAGATTGGAATTCGACGGTGCTTTATATCTAAAAAGAGAAAGAAACCACCATAGCACTTCCATTATTTTGGACCGCTTTACCTAAATCCTTAGAACCAAAATCAAATAAACTGTTTCCCATTCCTTCTTTCTAGATCATCCTTACACAAACAATTAAAGATACAGTATTAAGCATTCATCTAAGCAATAAGAAAAAACTAAAACTATTTCCTAAGACCATTTGCTTCCTAGCTAGGAGCTTTAAACCAAAGGTAGGGTTAGAGAGGGGACTCAATAAACTGTTACAGAGAAGCAAATATTTTGGATTGTTTTGTTTTTAATGTTAAACTCTAAGTAGCAGGAAGAGGAACTGAATTCTGGTTTTATTTTTTTTTAGTCACAGACAGGACTATAGGAAACAGGGGTAACATTTTTAACATAGAATTTTCCCCATTATAATTTTAGAAACATTTTCCAAAGGCTTTTTGTTTTTCAAAATTTATTTACTTAAGTGTATCTATGTGTGTGGGTGTACCATAGTCAGTATGTGGAGGTCAGAAGATAACTTTAAAGAGTCAGTTCTCTTCCTCTATAATGTGGGTCCAGGAATCAAACTCAGGATGAACCTCATGTTTGACAAAAGCTCTTTCCCACTAAACAATCTTGCCAGACTCAAATTTTTGAAGATAATACATTTAAAGAGATCAGAATTCAGAAGACAGACATGATATATGGTCAAAATATATCCCTCCTTCCTATGTATGTCCTGAGTTATCAAATTTCCCTTTCCAGAAAAGGCAACTAAGATCAGCAGTGTCTTCACATCTTTGTAAAAACATATATATCCAAACACAATTTTATGCTATTTTCCATACAAATTATACCATAGCATTCTAATTTTTTAATATAATTATATTTTCATTTAATTCCTTATCTTACATTTGTTGCTTATAGTACTGTGACTTTAAGAATAAAATCGGGCTAGAGAGATGGAGCAACCATTAAAGACTCAGGTTTACAACCCAAATGACAAAAGTTTGGTTTCCAGCACTTAAGATCTCTCACCAGCTACAGTTAAGCTGGGCATGTTGGCACACACCTTTAATCCCAGCACTTGGGAGGCAAAGGCAGGCAGATTTCTGTGAGATTGAGGCCAGCCTGGTCTACACAGCAAGTTCCAGACCAGCTAAGGCTACAGGGATACCCTGTCTCAACAAAAACATAATCCAGTTCCCCTTCCTTCTACTTGAAGTTTGCTTCCTTTCTGTTAACATTTAACACTGAAAACAAAATAAGCAAAACACATGACCATCTTGTACAGCTGCTTGTCTGTAACTATTTATTATGAAAATATGGTAACCAAAATACACAGAATTTTACTTTCTTCCTGATCGTTTGGTGAAATTTTTTTCCCTACTGGTATGCATTATTTATGTATATAGGGAAAAAATTAGTGTTCAGGAAATAAATACTAGTAATTAAGAAAACATTGCAAAAAAGCTTTGAAATTTAAAAATGATGATGTAGGTATTATAAGTTTTATATAAGCAATAAGCTTTAAAATTTACATTTTTAAAAAGAAAATATTACATATTATAAACAATACTTTTTGCTAATACTAAAGAACAAACCAACACATATAATTGGGCCCCAAAGCACAGATATCACAGACTGAAAGACACTACACAAATACCTGGGTGATTTAGAAGAGTATCAAGTTCTTCTTTGGCCACAACCATTCTTAATTTATCACTGCTATCAATGACAAATATAATGGCTTGTCCATCTCTGTACAGTATAAAGAAACAGAATAATGAAGGCTACACTTACACATTTTTCTATATTATCTATTTGCATTTCCTAACCCACGTATTATTGCTTAATGTCCTACATTCATTTATCACTAGGATTTTTATTGTTATGTCTTCTTAATGCATATGATTGATATATTAATATATTTCCAGTAAAGTCTCTTCATTTGAATAATAACATACTATCTCAGAAACTTTTTTAAGTATGTGGTTTTTGGTTAAAACAGTTAGAATATGGGCTAAGAATATAGCCCAGCAGTTGCCCAATATGTGTAAGGGCCTTGTTTAATCCCCAATATAGGAAAAAAGAATCAGAACATAAGATGTAAGAGACCAATTAAAAACATGAACAATTTCTTGACCTTTTTTTTTAAGCATTAAATCATGAGAAATACATGCCACATTGACATGAGAAGACATACAAGTATCCACAAATATATTTGAAGTCACATGAGACAATAGGAATAAGCCTTTATTTTACTCTATTTGACTTTTAAAAGATTTATTTCTATTTCCTGTGTATTAGTGTTTTGCCTGCATGTACATATATGTACCACATGTGTACCTAGTACACAGAAGCCAGAAGAGGGTGTTGGAACCCTTGGAACTGGAGTTACAGATGGGTGTGAGCTGCCATATGGGTGCTGGGAATCAAACCTGGGTCCTCTGTAAAAGCAGCAAGCACTCTTAACTGCTGAATCTTTCCAGGTCCCCTATTTGACTTTTTATAGGTGTAAGTTCACAGGCGCAAGTTCCCAGAAACCTGGAAAACTCTGTTTCCTTGTGGGCATTCACCACCCCTGGCTCTTACAATCTTTCTGCCTTGTCTTCCACAATGTCCCCGACTCCTGGGTAGGCAAAGTTTAATACAGGAGTCCTATCCACGGTCACACACTCTGCAGTCTTTTATTCTCTAATTTTGACCAGTTGTGGCTTTCTGTGTTAACTGAACTTACAGCAATGGTGACAGCATGCACAAGATCCATGTTAACGCAAACCAGGTAAAAAACCAGCATAGAACTGGGGAAATAGGCAAGAAGCCCAGAAGAACTATTAGCAGTTGATCACTGATGGGTGAGGAAGAGTTCATCTTCTCTAAGGGAGTGATGCTAGATAGGCTGAATAGGCTCCAGTGAATGAACTCACACTGAGGGACATCTGAGTACACAAACTTGACTCAACGGGCCTTAACATATATGAGAGAATGCATGAAATCCTGTGGTGGTGTTGGTGGGCTATGGAAAAGGGTACAGATAGGGGAGCTACAGATAGATTAGGGTACATCTAAATATGATTAAGATGTATTTTATGAACTGCACAAAATTCAATAAAATATACATTGAAAATAAAAGCTGATACCAAGCTACTGAACTCAGAGGACTTCAAAAAATCTATTGATTAAATTATTTTATTTAGTTTAAAAGTAGTGATCATTAATATTATCAACTTGACAGCATCTAGACTAACCTAGGGAACAAGCCTCTAGGTATACCTGTGAGGGATTAGCTAGACTGAGTCAGACTTTGGCCATGCCTTTGAGAGATTATACAAAAGTGGGTGGTACCATTCTCTGGGCTTGGGTTCTGGGTTGAATAAAATGGAGGAAGCTACTGAGCAAAAACATTCATTGTTGTTGTTGCTTCCTGACTGTAGATACAACTTGACCAGCTTCTTCAAACTCCTGCTGCCTTGACTTCCCCACAACGATGGACTACACTATCAAACTGCGAGCCCAAATCAACCTTTTCTCCTTTATGGAGCTTCCTGTCAGGATATTTTAACACAGCAACAGGAAAAATTATTAGGATAAAAATTAATGAAATTATTTTGACATCACATGCAAGCCTGAGTAGGCATAAAAAATCTGGAGCCTAGTAATGTGGCACTTGTCAACCTGAAGAAATTATTGAACACTGTATGTTCTGAAAAAATCTTATTTGAAAATTACTCATAAAACAAATAGATCAACTGTTAGACAAAACCATTATTTTAACTAAATTTGGTCAATACTTATTTTAATCTATATGTTAAGCATCATACTGGTCCTTGAAGAAATATTTTGAATAAAGAACAATTTCTTCACTAAAGGAGTTCACAAAATGATTAGTGAGGCAGATGCAGTACCTGATTACACAGATATGAATGGACGAATAATTGGGGAAACAGCAAACCATCAACTCAGGTGACTTTTGAGTTGGTTCTATATAACCCAGGCTGGCCTCAAACTTACTATGCAGCATAGGCAACATAGCAAATATCTGATCTAAATTTCTGATTCTTAGCTTTATGAGTGCCAAGATTATAGATATGTGCCATCAAGTGTAGCCTGAGCTGGTTTTTAAGCATGGGTATATTAACCTTAGACAGAAAAGGGCATCAAAACTCAGAGAACAGGACATCCAAAGGCCTAATGTCACAAAGGACCAGAAGCATTTGAGCATTTGAGAAACAAATTATCTCTCTCTCTCTGATTAAATAATAAGAGAAATTACATTGTAGCCAAAACAATATAATCACGTGGATTTCTAATAATTATTTGTTACTAAAATATAGCCACATAGTTAAGCAATAACAATAAACATACTTACTTATAATAGTGTTCCCAGAGATTTCTGTATCTTCCCTGACCGGACATATCAAATACTGTAAAATTCAAACTATAAACAACAGTAAAGCATTACTATATTATAAGCTACTGCACTGGATAGCTTTAGTTTTCAACTTGACACACCTGGGTAGAGGGAGCTTCACCTGGGAAATTTCCTCCATTGGACTGGCCTGTGGCCATGTCTGTGGAGTATTTTCTTGATTTTTGAGTGATGTAGGAGGGCTTAGCCCACAGCAGTCTGTACCAATCTTGGGCAGGTTGTTCTGTACTGTGTAAGAAAGCACACTGAGCATAGGCCAGGGGAGTAAGCCAGTAAGCAGTGTACTCCATGACCTGTGCTCCAGCTCCGGCCTCCAGGTTCCTGCCCTGACTACCTACCTTGGGCTCCCTCAGTGATGAACTATGACCTGGAAGATGTGAATCAAATAAACCCTTTCCTCCCCAAGTTGGTATTGGTCAGTGTTTTGTCACAGCAATTGAAAGCAAAGTAGAACAGCTACCAAATTAAGTATAACTTTTGGTTAATATTTTAAATTTTTTTCTATCAGAGAAATCACCATACTATATGATAATGTGGCCAATATTCTAGAAAGAATTCAAAAAATACATTATTAATCTAAATATGATTTTGTGCTAGGCATGGTCTTTAATCCTAGTACTTGGGAGGGAGAGGCAGGCAGATTGCAGTGAGTTCAAAGCCAGCATGGTCTACAGAGTAAGGTCCAGGCCAGCCAGGGCTACATAGTGAGACCTTGTCTTAAAAGAAAATTTTTGCAGGCTGGGTATGGTGGCACTCACCTTTAGTCCCAGCACTCGGGAGGCAGAGGCAGACAGATCTCTGTGAGTTCAAGGCCAGCCTGGTCTACATAGTGAGTTCCAGGACAGCTGGGACTACAGGGAGACCCTATCTCAAAAAGACCAAAAACAATTTTTTTTTTTTTTTGCAATGAATGAACATAAAAAGATGTTTTCTTTGCTAATGAGGTTTTCAGAATGGTCTAAACTCTAAAATGCTAGGAATAAACTAAAGATACCTACAGAATTTTGAATAACAAAGGACTTCTGAGTAGAGGGATGATCAGGTAGAGCTAGTATTACTTTCCACTTACAACTTCTTAGTCACAAAGATAAAGCAGGTTACCTGGATGATTTAAATTTCTCTACGCTGAATCCTATTGTTGGAACTATGTCCTGAGATTGAGCCTTTAAGAGAAAAGAAAAATTAGGATGAATTTTTGCTCAAGTATTCAGATTTTTCCATTTCTAAAATGTACCACTAAGGAAATAACAGAATTAAACAGTATCATAATTTTTGCAATAGAATCACTGTGCAAACTCTTTACGGAAATGTAAAGTTTACCTACTAATTCTGAATCTGTATAACACAATTTACATTTTATTTTATTAAGTTAAGCCAGACTTAAAAATTTTCATAAGTGGTTTCAAAAGTCACTCTGAGTTCATATGTTGAACTTCCTAATCTTTCATCACATACACATACTGAATTTATATATGCTTGGGACTGTCTTCATATCTACCTGGTCCCTACTGTTAAAGAGTTCATGAGCTAGAGCATGTAAATAACAATCAACAACTTAATGACCCTTGAACATATTGAGACACTGATAAAAGGTGACTGGGGGCAGGAGGCACAGGCAAAGGGGACTGTTACGGTAATACGGAAAGAGTACTCAAAAAAGGCTCCTGTGAGGTGACATCTAACCCAGGAGTGACTGCTAGGAAGGGGAAATCTAGGGCAAGTTCCTGCAAAGAATATTCCAGTATGGAATTAGTGCACTGATCCTAGGACAGGAAGGAACTTGTCACTAAGTGAAGAATAGAAGGCCTACATGTCTACAGAGTACTGCTGAGAGAAAAAGTGATCCACGCTGAAGCGATAGGTGGAGCCTTGACGGCTCTGGCAGGAGTACTATGTGGGGAAGACTGAAAGGGGCCAAGAACAGAGGAACACATATTGACAGGACTCACAAGCATTTAAAATGATTATACTGACAACCTAACTCATTACAAAAAATGCCTCTCAGAATTTCCATCACCAAAACTGTTCGTTCATTTAAATAAAAATGTATCTACTTTCTGATCCAGATGCTTAGAAGTTATTATTGACTTCTCCTTTTGTCACATACCTCCATGTTAGGAATAAAACCGGTCTCTAAGTTTTATTGGCTCTGTGCCAACAACCTAGACTAGACCTTTACCATTTGTTGCTTTGAATTAGAATAACCTCCTAATTGCTTCTAATTTGACTATGCCACATGGTTCAGGTTACTTTAGCCTAGGTTTGCTTACATGTCAACTATATTATTATACCTAGCTCATAAAGTCATCATGAGAATTAAATGAGTTAATGGATGCAAAATATTCAACGTGGTGCCTATACACACTCAACAGATGCTTTCTATTATAATTACACTCTTTTTTCAGCTTGTCTTATTCCCCAATATTCCTATATTGCCCTTACGTATAACAACAATCTGGCTTACTGCTTTTATATGAAAACAGGGGTAGAAGGGAAACTTTGCTTCTCACCACTGTTTACTCTGGTATCTACTTTTGTGGAATTTAAATTCAAATGGAAAAAGAGAAGCTGAAAAGCTACTGGAGTGTGGTAACCTTAACAGCCATGTGCTGTGGTAAGGCCTCTTCCAGAGCTGCCTTGTTTTGCCATTCCAAAGTTTGTTTATTCAGCTTTCCCATCTACCCATTCTATGAACAGCATTAGTACTTTTCCAAAAGTCACTTTCTTGTGTGCTAGAAAAACCAAGCTCACATTTATGCACTCTTGCCCCCTGCAAGAGTAGTCTCTAACACTACTTTTTGTTTGTTTGTTTGTCTTTTTGAGACAGGGTCTCCCTGTAGCCCCAGCTGGCCTGGAGTTCGCTATGCAGTCCAGGCTGGCCTTGAACTCATAAAGATCCTCCCGTCTTTGCCTCCTAAGTGCTGGGATTAAAGTCGTGTGTCACCATGCCTGGCAAATTTTTAAAAATAAATTTATTTATTTATTTATTTATTTATTTATTTATTTATTTATTTATTTATC